TTGAAATAACCTGTCTATTTTGAATTCCATGAACAGACTTTGAAACATGGCCCAACTTATCCTTGAAATACAACTTGAAACAAAGTCTGAAACTACATTATCGTGTGACTCAAAATCAACATGACGCCAATTAATGGACTGACAATCAAATTTTCAACAAACTAGATTATGCCCTGAAGTGGCCTAATCTTGTAACTTGTATTTTATGACTTGAAATTTGCAAGTTAAACTTAAGTTTGTCACAAACTGATTTAGAATCCAAACATAGCTTGACGCTTGTAATCAATTCGAACAAAGCCTGAGGCTAAATCGACCGTGTCTAGAAGCATCATGTGAAGTATCTTTGAACAACTTGAATTAAGTACGGATCATAACAAGCAACCTGTAGTGAGGCTTGAATAACCTTTAGAGACGTTTGTAATCAAGTGGAAATAGGGTTTAAATTTATTGAAAACCAACAAATATGTTGCGAGATAGATCCAATCGTGTATTTTATGCCATTGAACATATCATATATGTTTGACCATGAGAACAAGGACACACATGAGTTTGGGCATAAGGGGAAGGAGGCACGCTCTTCAACATAATCTGTTAGGGATTATTAACCACAATGAGCACACACAAGGTCTTTATAAACGAAATCTTAGAGAATCATGGCCAGAAGTCGTGAAGCAGTAAAACATTCATTAAATACCGAGGTAGGAAAAATTTGGGGTATGACAGTACCCTTATAGTGCAATGAGGAAGTCAGAGCCTACATGGTTCAGGGAACCCACGCTGAAAAAGAAAACAGAGATAGCGTCGAAGCCAAAAGCAAAAAGAGGAAAGCAAAACCCTATTGGGGAAGCGAGAGCCATGTTGTTGAAACCAAAAACAACAAATAGGAAGTCTGTTGAGGAACTCAAAAGAGAAGTAAAAGCTCCACTGGGGAACACTGGAGAAAAAAAGGATAACTCCATTGGGGAGAAAACAAAAGAATGGCGACAAGGCTGGGGAAAAGAGACAAGAACCAATATAGGATAAGATCTGCAGTAAAATCGGTGCATTAACTGGCAGATAATGACTAACCAAATAAAAACAAGAGAAAGATCAAGTGGGGAAAGCCAAAAGGTTGGTGTCGAGAAACGGACTGCGAGGGACCGGAAGAAAGAGAGTAAAGGTGTCAACTCCAAGGGGATTGCGGTATATTAACTAATAAACAGCAGTTAACCGGAATAAAGGAGAAAGGAAGTGGTTTCAACCAGTAGACGGTGATCAACCAAGAAAACAGATGTGGAACCAACAAAGGTTGTGACCCAAAGAAACAGTACGCTGACTGAACAAATACTACTCGACCAAAGAAAATTGTATTTGAACCGACCAAAGGTTACTAACCCAAAGCTGGCAGTATTTGAACCAAAGAAAGGTTGATAGCATCAGGGAGCTTGGTGTCTAACATATGGACTATGATAGACCTAAATGAATGAGTGATTAATCAAGAGAATGTGATTAACTCAACAAAAAACTGGTTTTAACGGGCGGACCGTTATCAACCAAAGAACGGGTGATTAACCCAAAGAAAACTCAGTCTTAACAGGCATACTATGATTAACTGAGGAAAGGAAAATGGTGTTTAACTGACAGACAATGATTAACCAAAGAGGAAGGAAATAGAACCAAAAGAAGGTTGCAAACATTAGTGGGGATTGGGTTTTAATAGAAAGACTGTGTTAAACTGAAGAGAAAAGGTCAACTTCACTGGGGAAGAAGAGAAATAGGTTTTAACCAAAGGATGGCTAATCAATCAAACAAGGGTTTTGAATATAAATATCAGGGGAAACTAAGGATGGATACTTCCAAAGAGGATGTAAGGGTGCAAGTGATCAAGGATCGACTCGACTGGAGAAACAGGGAAACCATAGTAAGGAGATAGAGGCGACTATTCCAGGCACAGGGTCATTCTTCCTATACCCAAAATAATTAGAATGAGTGTAGGAATTCTCCACTCTCATTCCTTCTATAAAACCAAAGTGTCGTGCAAGAAACGAAATAGACAGCACAACGGCGCAAAATTTGTACAATGCTCTAAGGTGTTGCAAATCTTCAACCCCGCGGGGAAAAAGTGAGGACAAAGCTCAAGAATATTCAAAGGAGGAGAAAAAGGAAGATTGATTAATCGAAACGTACTTTCAATTAATTAATCAAAGGGAAAAGATATGCTAACAATTTTCTAAAGGAATGAAAAATCGTTAAAGCAAAAAGGGAAATTATTGATTAAACAAGATTAAGTTCATTCCAAAGAGGAATAAATCTTAACGCAGGCAAGAATGGAAGTGTAAAACAATACCAAAGTCAATTAACATGCATCACAAGCCAAGTAATCATGTGATCAAAGATTAGACAAAAATGAAAATGTACATACAATGTAAAAAATGCAAATAAATGCGAAATCGATAAAATCGGGTATTAGAAAATCCACAAACATGATCCAAACAGAGGTTAAAACTTCCTTAAACATCAAGTATATCAATTCATGGGAGTTGAAAGAGGAAGAAATGCCAAACATATATAAAAAAACAAAAATGGCCTTCTGGACCAGTGTTAATCGATTAACATTTTGCCTGTGCAAAAGTGTTAATCGATTAACCCCTTTAAAACAGGAAATTTTGCTGAAAAATACATGGTTGGTCAATTAACACTTTGCTTGTGCAAAAGTATTAATCGATTAACACTGAAGCAGAGCCTGAAAAATGAGTTTTCAAAAGCAAATTTATCCAATTTTCATTTGTGCAATCCCTCACATGTTAGGGAAAACAATCATGCACGAAAATCAAGTTCGAAAACAGCAAATAAGCACTTACATGATAAATTAAAACCTCAAGATTGAAGATCAAATCAAAGCATAATCAATTCACAAACGAGAAAAACGTCGGAACTACATCGCAAATGATACGATAACGATTAAAATAATGAAAAGAGTGAGAATTAACCAACCTATATGGCTGAGATTTGCCTTAGATGTTGTTGCAAAGGGAAAGTGATGAAGCTGCTCAAAGAAATCTAAAGAAAATAGAATTTGAAATTGAACCATAGTGAAACCAAAAAAAACTTTGAAGAGAACTCCAAAATTAAAATTACACCGAATAAGCTTGAAGTAATCACTTGAGATGAATCCGAATGCAATATAACTCCAAAAAAGCAACAAGAATTTGTAAGATGGTTATGGCTAAGCTCAAGAGGAAGCACTTCCAATGAAGAAGTTGTTACTCTTTAATGGAGGTTTTGAGCTCTAGTGTGTTTTGGGATGAAAGTGAAGAAAATTATTAGTAGAAGTTGTAGAAAACTCAGAGAGAGTGTGAGAGAATTGAGAGTGATTAAGTGTGAGAATTTGGGAGAATGATTAGATCATTTGTGAAATGGTGATGGTTTACTGTTATACCCCAAATTTTACCCTTAGATTCCTTGATTTGTTACATATCATCTAGATCATATGCATAGCTAACCAATTTAGTAGTTTTTGTTTGTTTTATGAAGTTAGGTTTGCTACAAAAGATTCAGAAGGCCATGAAGGTTTTGTGTTTGCACCTTGTCTCCTACAGGATCCCTCAGGAGATTTCAGTGCACACATAAGAAGGATTAGAGTTTTTATCCCATCGGCAGTGGGTGTGGTCGTTCAAGAACCAAGTTATAGTTCTCGTTGGCAAGTGATGTTACATGTTGCACCTTCATGGTCCATACACTAGGTTCACCATCATCTAAATGTTGGGTGTACTCATTACTAAAGATCGAATTATCCCATGTTATATCCAAATGGCTGAAACTCGTGCTTATGGTTTATATAGAGCACAAGTTGCAAATCAAGTGAATCATGTGGGTTGCATTTTTTCATTTTGGATTTACGAAGGTCATAGTGGCCAAACATGGAAGATCATGCTTGATTAATTAAACATATTGGTAGAACATCTTCCATACACTTCGTTTTAAAGTGGGATTCAATACGGTAAAGCTCATTCAAGAAACGCAAGCCCATGACTAAGGTTACTTTGATCGTCGGAGTCTTAAAGTTCTCATCTATGGTGCGAACTCATGGATTTGCATTTATAAAAGGTTGTGGAATTCCAGGAGCAATTTTCACATATCAAGTACATATCATCCACGATCATCACAAGATAGTCACCATACCTCCCATGTTCGTTTAAGAATGCAGGCATTAATTTGAGAAAGATTTTCCTAATATGGTTATCATACAAACTTCATGATTTATTGATAAATTTTAAGATGTGATCATGGTTTACAATGTGGATAATTAAGTTCAATAATTGTATGATAAGATCACAAAGTTAAGAACTCATTACAATTCAAATTCAATTAAAAAGTCCACGTTGCCATGCTATTTGAATTTCAAAGGTTATTGTTACAAAATATCTCAAGACTTCAAGGTATAAGGTTAACATCATACATCATTATCCAAGAAGACATTCAAGAGTTCAAAGTATTATTTCAAGTTGTCTTGGAAGTTCCTTTAAAAATCTAGAAATTCAAGTCAATTCCAAAGATCCAAATATACAAAGAACTTCAAGACCATTTTACACCTTCAAAATTCAATGTCTTTTTAGTTTTCTCTTTTTGGAATACAAGGGATAGTTTCTATGTAAGACCAAAGAGAATAAGGTTCATTCAATATTTATCCCAAATTCAAGAGCTTCACATGTTTGCAAGAGGCCATTCCAAAGTTTAAAAGTTCATGCTATTGGGAAAAATCAATTCTTTTTCACAATTTGGGATGTGCATTATTTCTAAATATATCCTAAGTAATTTCATGCCAATGGGCAAGATCTAACACAAGGCTCAAGTTTTTTCTACAAGGTTTTTCTACAAGGGAATGAATCCACAAGTGTTCTCATGATTACAACAGTCACAAATACAAAGTACACATAGAAGTTTAGATCCTATTTTATTTCCATGTGTATTTCTTCAAGTCCCAACCTTGGTTCCACGCCTATCCAGGTGATAACATTTGCTCATAGTCCTATGCTTTGACCCAGAATTTCATGGGCAACGACTTGCAACCCTGTACACAAAGCAAAAACAACCTACATCATGCTCGAGCTTCACAACACATATACATATGAAAGTTGCTACAACAATTATAGTGAAAATTCTATGTTGGCGTGGGTATATAGTGATCGCACTCGTATTTTGAGGAAAGCTAGCAGTTTTTTATATGGATATAATGCCCACATGTAACACATCACCGTCATGAGTGAGTTAATCAACAGCATACACGAATAAAGCATGAAAGGAAAATCAGCAGTATCATGATACCAATAGTAGAGAAGAAAGAATCAGATTTCTTTGTCTTACCATCACTACATATAAAGCCTGGTACTTCTCCATGAATTAAAGTCGTACTGTTTGGATCTTCAGGAGAAATGGGGTGAAGACCTTTGTATTTTTGCTGATCAAAGTGCTGCAGAGTCATAAAAAAAGCCATCATGTTGGAGTCTCTCATCAAGAGTAATATCCCTTTAACAAAATCCATTGGTTGTAAAGTTGGCAAACTCGAATTAAGTCGACTAGCTTCGGTTTTTGGAAAAGTCATCATTTGTTTGATGCTCGATTATTACCGCACAACAGAGGATTCAATTCTATTTAGTGACACTTTTAAAGAATTAAAAAAAAGGTATATACATAGAAGAATTCAGTGGTCTGCAATTTGCATTCAAACACAAAGATCATATTCAATTCTTTCTAAAACAGAATTTAAACATGTTCGATTAGAAGAGGAAATTAGCAAATAATTCCCAGGCACAATTCAGCCAAAGGAGGAAATAACATTCAAAGCTCTGTACAGGATCAAGACAGCATTCAAGAAAATTTATTTAGAATAAAGATTTGGTTCCAACATATCTTAGCTGAAACAGAAATAATGGAATCATGATTAATGACTTGCCTTTCCTGCTAAAACAGGTCACCGACAGGTTCTCTCACCCTCATCAATGTTTCCTGGTTTAAAAATAATTCACGCTCACACTGTCGCGGGGTATCAAGAATTCACGCCACATACACACCCATACATCATCGATTTGTATTCACACCAAAGAAATCACAAACACACACTGCTATTCATGGTAGTAAAGGGCATAGCGGTTTGAGCAGAAAAATGCGGCATCACCAAAGTTCAAGCCAAAGGATACCCACGGGTCATACACGCGAGCAGCAACAAAAAAAAGAGAGGAATTAAAGAAGAGAAAGAGAGAAGACTTATCTTCGCGGACGTCGTCGAGGCCGAGTCGTAGCTCCCTGTCGAAACAATTCGAATGTATACAAACTCTTTATCCAAATTCTTGAAATTCCATCACGTATGTGCTGATTTAAACTTGACGCCTTTAGTTCCCTTTAGTTGAATTTAATACGTAATCTGTCGGTGTCGCGAACCATCCGAATCCAAAACGATGAAATGTTACTGTTTGTCGCGTAGATTTTGTCTGGCGAGATGCGTTAGTAAGGAAATGATGAATGATGTGGTATGAAAACGGAGGAAATGGTGGACAGGATTGAAGAAGAGAAGGGAAACAGACAGTCGGGAGAGTGAGGGCCGTGAGAAGCTTTTGAGGGTTTTCCTTTCGTTTTTCTTTCTCTTTGTTTTGCAGCTAACGGGCCGCGGGTGTGATGACCGGCCCAAATTTTTTTTTTAAATCTTCAAACTCTTTATTTGTTTTGTAATTTCAGTTGGGCCTAGCCCATATTGGGTTTTTTTTTCTTTTTTTTTTAAAGAAAAAAAAAAACAATTATACTTTATAATTTGAATATTTTATTCTATATAATTAGGTTAATTCAAAGATAATTAGTTTTTATTTATTTGAGAGAAATTCTAAAAATCCTAAACGATTTAGTTATATTTCCAATTAATCTTAAAACTAAAAAAAAATAGTTCTAATTTAGGTTTTATTTAAATTTTAAAGAAGTTTAGAATTTAGTTATTCGGGTTATATAACTTCTCTTTATTTTTAATCGGTTAATTTATTCAGGTTTCTATTTAGTTTTGTTAAGTTCATTAACGCTAAGTATTTTGTTTAAATTCTAAAATTAATTCTGGCAATCTTTGTTATTAATTCTGAATAATTTTGATTTCATATTATCCATTTGTGGCCTGTTTTATTTGGCACCGTTTAACTAATAAGTCTATTCGTGTTTAGATTTGACTTGAACCTTGCCTTATGCTATCACTCATTCATTATTACACATACACAATTCCAAAGGAATGAACTTCCCTTGTCGACTGCCATGTCAACCTTAGAATCTTAAATCGTTCCTTATCCTAACCTTAGGATTGAAGTCGCCGCACTCCACTTAACGTCCCACCGTGGACACTTTTTTACATCCCCATCCTAGCCTTAGGATTCAGGAGTCACCGTACTCCACGTAAGTACCTGCCATGGATACTTACCTGTCATTCAACATTAACGTAGATTCGGAGTCGTCGTGCTCCATGTAAGTGTCTTCCTATGAACACTTAATTCCCCCTGGAACCTTGACCATAGTCAAGAGTTCCTCATCCTCTTTGAGGGGAACTACGAATACTCTGATTCCATTCCCGTCAGGATACGTAGGCACAAGATGCAATTTCTTGGCAAGTATACTTAGGACTAACCCCTTAGGTCTCTCTCTTTACCTTCAACCCTTTAGCATACCTTTAACAGATAGATTAAGAAATAACACATATTAAACAAGAGGTTTTTGTAGAGTAATACATATGCTTAGAATGCTAACACCTTTCCTAGGTATAACCAACCCCCGAACCCTAGATCTCCCCGCATTGTTTTTACAGTGTAAATTAGGTTTTTCTTTCTTTAACCTTTCCTTCGGATAAATCAAATACCGGTTGTGAATTCAAGATTTGTGATTCAAATTAATCAATAATTTGACATCCTATTCTCACCGCAACAGAAAATGGAGACTTCATTGGGGAATAGTCAAGACTTTTCGTGAGTTACCCCTAACTTGTTTTATTTGTGTTTATATACCTGTTTATATTTGTATGACTGTATCTGTTTGGGTTATGTGTTGTGGTGAGATAAATCCTACACCCGGATTTGAGTGCACTTATTATAGGAAGGTGATATATTCGACGAGGCTTATAGGGAGTGATTCCCGACCAAGCTAACTTGAGAATCACCGCTCAGTTGAGGCCCTCTCGAGAACAATATTGTGAAATGAGTATTCGGGAACACACTTACTACTATCGACCTAGGAGTCTGTGATACTGGGAACCTTTAGTTACCCTTAACACAAATTTGGCTTCCTTAGGACGTAGTGCGATGACTATGAGGGAGTAGTCCCAAAGTAGTTGATACGCGATGCTACACTCAAAAGAGGTTCTCTTGAGAATGTTGTTAACCACCGAGTATTTGGGAAATTGATAATATCCGAAAGATGAACTGATGACTTTGGGCACTTCTTAGAACCCTTGTTTTGTAGGTACAACTAACCCTTAGTATATACCTTTCGGGATGGGTAGACCATGGCTCCATGCTTACTGTAACACCCCCTTCCTATACCCCAAAATAAACAATTAAATCATTTAGGCACAAATTCAAAATTTCATCAGAGTACATTTGCAACGTGGCATAAAAGGGAAATATCACATTATCATAAAAATTCTAACACATACAACTCCTGCTCAAACGGATATGCAACAACAGGGTAGCACCCACAAGAAGATATTTAGAACAAGGCGGAAATATCCAAATATTCCATAATTCTCCAAAACATATGTTCACATATACAATTATCATTCATCATGTCTACAAAACATATCATCAGCAGATACATACACAGATGTATCACAAAAAAAAATCAAAATAATTCCTATCTACCCGGTGCTACATATCAGAGTCGACCGACCAAAAAGGGAAGAAGCCACGCTTCACAAAAATACCTCCGGCAATCTAATCTGCCATGCCTCATAGAGCATTAAAAGAAACAACAGAAGGGTGAGAAACGATATCATAATAACAATGCATATAAACATATATATATATATATATATATATATATATATATATATATATATATATATATATATATATATATATATATATATATATATATATATATATATATATATATATATATATATATATATATATATATATATATATATATATATATATATATATATATATATATATATATATATATATATATATATATATATATATATATATATATATATATATATATATATATATATATATATATATATATATATATATATATATATATATATATATATATATATATATATATATATATATATATATATATATATATATATATATATATATATATATATATACATAATATCCAATATACGTCTTTCGCATTCTCACCGCAACTCACCTCATCATACCGTACATCGCAATGTATTCACATTATCTATTTACAAATAGAACACCATGCATATACAATATGCGTCAACAATGTTTATATCAGTTCATAAACACACAAAACATACATATACATATATTCACACATACATGTGTCTTCAAGCATACCAATCATGCCAATCATCAACAATTCATATAAACATTTACAATTATGTTTATTCACCATACACCATGCAAGATGTCAACATGCAACTCATAGAGACCGACACACGACTCTATGCAAATGCAAATGCGGTACCGACTCATTTCAGCAGGTTCAATTGAAGAACCAAATAACCATCGCTCACACCCCACATGGGCACACGAGGTTCTGCAGATTCTACGCGGAATCAAAATAACCATCATAACATACGAGGTTCTGCAAATCCACCGAGGGATCAATAATTAACCATCGCTCACACCCCACAAGGGCACACGAGGTTCTGCAGATTCACCAAGGAATCAATCGACACAAGAATGCATACCATGATGCTTCACATGCAACATGACTCATGACACTCTTGAAATGCACACATGTTTACAAACATACTCATGCATTCTACACATTCATCGCATATATTCATACAAACATCATAGACCTTTAATCGAGCTAAACAATTCACATAATATCCCAAACGGCCACAATTCATAATCTAGGATTCACGCCCTACGGCTACCCACAGCGCATCACAAACAGCATATAAGCTATTAAATTAAAGAAGGGTCGATCGCCACCGAAACCCCAAGCCACGGCAGCACCACGCAACAGGGAAAATTCATCCTGCTACGTTCGCTACACGCCCGCCTAGCGAGCTGCTAGTGAGCGTTTTCTACCTCTTCGCCTAGCGAACTGCTAGCGAGCAAGAACAGAGCCTACATACCTCGTTCGCTACCCCGTTCGCCACAGCGAACCTCCAGCGAGCTCCTCGCTACTCCCTTCGCTGCCAGCGAGGGACATCAGGATCTCACTGTCCCAAGTCTGGGACCGTTCGCTACACGCTCGCCTAGCGAGATGCTAGCGAGCGTTCGCTGCGTGCTCGCCTAGCGAGCTGCTAGCGAGTCGCCTGCGAACAGCAACATTCAGTTCTGCTCCAGCACCTCCAAACTCACCAAAATCACCCGATTAAATCCAAAGTTGTTCCAGTAGCCTTAGTCTAACATATATCGTCTAACC